GACAATGAACAAACATATTATTTTTGCTGGCAAGTTCAACTTCAAGTTGTGCCATGTCAGCGTCCTCGCGTCCTGCCCTGGATCTGAACAAGTCTGCTGAGCAAGCGCTGGCGGTGCTTCATTTGGTGGACAAGCAGGAGGCGATCCAGTTGGAGTAACGTAGCTGGAGTTGGAGGGTTTGAGTTTGAAGCATTTATGCATTGATCCTTTGCCATTGTCCTAACTAACCGACTGCCTTTGAGGAATCGTTTCTCCCGAGCACACCCCAGAAATCCAAGCGCCTGGGTGTTCAAGTCGGTGCAGCGCAAGATCTTGGAGCCCCTTGTTTGATTTGATGAAACAGGACTTATCCTTGTGTGAACGGGTTCACTCAGGCTATAGGCAGCTCATGGCAGCTTATTGGTATCCGAATTGATCAAACCTGAGGCTGAATGAGGAGGCCGGATTTCCAGAGGATGGAAATCGTGGATCAAACAAGTGAAGATGACCTGGTTGAGTTGCATAAAGAGGCTGGGGTAGATTCTTGTTCGCTGCATGTATGTGGTTGGTTCAATGAGAAATGAAAGGCCTGCTGTAAGTTGCAAACCCTTGAGGCACTTCGAAAGCTCACCAGCAATGCAAAATGCAAATACCAGTGGCCTCCGATTGTGGTAATATTTGGATGGGGGACCTTGAAGTATGCAAAACAAGCGACTTGGCATGCCCAGCTTTCACTTGAAAGGGAATCATACGCAACAGAAAAAGACCATTTGAGAATTTGCTGTTCTTTAAGGCTACGACCATTGGCAGTGAGGAACTTGACAATCCAGCTGGCTTGGCCTTCCTCCTGAATGCCTCGATCCAGAACCTTGAGCTTTTCATGCCAAGCCATGTAGAGCCTTTCGGCTGGAAAGTGAGCAGTCTTAGAAAGCACAAGCCTTTAATAATCATGCAATCACAATAACCAAGCTCGTCCATGACAAACTAGCTGAGGCGAAAAGGCAAGGGCAAGGGGTTCAGAGGCGGTCGCAGATCAGGCTTTGATTTACAAGTGATGGAAAATGTTTCTTGGATGCACTGACAGTGATGACATTGAATTGGCATTGACCTACAGGACAATTGAAGACAGTGACAGTAGCTGTATGAATTTGAATGGCGTGCATTTGATGACATTGCCCAGGTTTTGACCCATCCTTCAGCTTACAAGACCCTTCTTCGGATGATCAAGGCGCCTACGGAATGCGTGCTGCTGAGCTGCGTCCAGGGATTTCATCGGACGCCCGCGATGGCAATGGCCCTGTGGGTGCTATTATTCGTCACCCGTCTAAATTCAGTTGTAAGGGCTGGCTGGCTAAGACTTGTTCAGGTTCATTGAGTCATGTCAGAGGTCAAGTGCTTCCGCAAACCCAGGTTATGGGTGTCTTGCTCATCTTGTACGTTCCTTCCGCGAAGGTCAGGAATCAAAACTGGGGAGAGGATGCCCAGAACGCTGTCCACCACTATCATAGGCTTTTGGGAGCACCTGCGGAAGATCGGTGGCTTGGATAAAATGGTTTATACTTTTTGCTTTAATAACAATTGAACATCAGTTCAAATTTGCATCATGGATGGCAAGACTTCCAGTCCACAGTTCCAAATGCGTTTGGCAAGGCTTGAAATGCTTGGGCAAGTATTGGATGAGAATGCACAGCAATGGAAGGAGATGTGGGGGAGCTCTTTCCTGGCCACCGCTTGCAAAGCCTATGACCTGCTGAGCTCTCACTTTCCAGATCTGAGTCTTGTCTGCAGTGGCCTCCACAAATCATTGTCACCTGTGAAGGGCTTTCAGCGATGCCAGATTGCCCTGATGATCGCTGTCATCATTGTCATTTGAGGCTCAGAGAGCTTCCTCCTCGGTTCCCAGCCGCACGGCCAAAGAAGAAGGCAAGGCCAGCACCACCATCAAGGCTTCCACCGGCACCACCTCCGCCTCCGCCTCCATGTGATGGACTGGTGATGGATGATGACCTCAATTTGCAGCCAGTGGTGCTGATTGGCTGAAATTCATCATATGGAACAGACTCTGTCAGGGTGACCAGAGCTTCAACTCACAATGCCTGCCTTGACATTTTCCCACCAGTAAGGACAGAGATCTTCAGCGACAGCGGCATCAATCATCCTACGGTCATCTCCAACTTTGCTCAGTTGGCGGCTTTTGGCAGGAAGGGCAGATTGAGAGCAGCCAGGCTTTTGATTCTCTGTCGCATTTGATGATGATTTCTAATGTTCAAAATAACAAAGTTAGCTTCAAAGCGTAAATGCATCAATCCAAGACCTTGCTTTGAAGGATGAAGCTCATCCTTTTTTGCATCATGCCTGTGAAGCCGAACAACCCCAATGCCTGGCCGATGAGCGCTGTGTGTCACTCTGGCTTAATTTAATGTCATGGCATGTGCTGTCTGGTGCTTCTGCGAGCCAGTAATGAATGATGATGTTTTGTTCACTGTATTTAGTGTTCATCCCAGGTGAGGATTGGGAGCTCATCCAGCGCAGCGGCCAAAGTGCCTGAAGATCGCATGGAGAAAAAATGTTTGAGCCATCCAGCTTATGAGCAGACATTGAGCCGACAATGAGAAGCACATGCGGGTTGTGAGTTGAGCTTCTCTTGGATTTGTAAAGCTTGTCATGTTCGTTGCTACTTCGATGTGATCTCCAGGACAAGGGCGACCATGCTTCATCTTCAGCAGCTGGACGCTGATGATGTCCGGAGCTTTGCCGTGAAAAGACTGGGTGTCGATCAGGTGTTGTTGTTTGGAAGTGGGAATCCTAATTTATTAATAAATTATTTGTCATTTCATCAACTTTGGTGTTGGTGAGGGGCGTGGACATACTGAACTTTGTTGACTTTTTCAAAAGGGTCTCAAGCTGCAGTCTTTTTGTTTGAAGGGTCAATCAGGTTTACAGCCAATGTATTGACTTTCTAGTCGAGAGTGGGGTGACATGAAAAGAGTTTTGTTATCATTGTCTAGGACAGGTCAGCAGGTATCTGAAAGGACAGGCTTCGTGATGACAAGTCATGATTTGGTTGTTTCAGAACGCTGATGTGTGCCTCTTCTCAAGGATACATCATGTTATGTTTGAAAAAATATCATGTTTTAATAGATTTCCCAAGATATCCATATTTTGGGTTACCTTTGAAGAAACATGACTCGTGATTTGCAGTTCTCACAGCCATGCATCATTAGCACTGACCGTGGAACCATAATTTTAATGTTGCGATTCATTGTCAGCAAATGCATCGTTGTCTGCCACCATGGATAGTCTTGACATCCTTTTTGGCGATGGGGCTGAGAAGAAGTTCTCTGGGGACAAGACGGCTTCTTCTGTTTCTTCTTCAAGGAAGGTCCCTGGGATTAGACCGTGGGTCTTGCGTGGGTGGCAAGACTCTTTGGGCAGTTGGGTCAAGAAGTCAAAGGGTGTGATCTACTGTGATGTTTGCAATGTAGAATGGCCGATTGCTGCAGTGCGAAAATCTAGCTTGTCGAAGCATGCAAAATCAATCAAGCATCTTCAGAAGGTTGGGGACATTGCTGGGGCTGCCTTGCGACTTGCACCGTCGGTGCAGGAATTTCAGGATGCTTTGTCTCGCAGGCTGAAAGGAGAGAGTTTCCGAGCTTCCTCAGCGGGCCCTCCCAAAGAACAGAAACTTCTATGGACTTTGTCGGAAGCCCTGCTGGACCGAGAGAGAAAGAAATTGAGCATGGCTTATTCGATAGGGGTGAGTCAAGACGTCCAAGGATCAACCCTATCAGTACGCGCCTCCTGCTGCTGGGGTTCAAAACTCCAACTTTCTCGCTTTTTGGTGGGCTACATGAGGGCCAAGACAGGCTCTGAAGGCCTTGCGCAGGCAACAAAGGCCCTGGTCCGAAATGTGTTCACAAAGCGGCAGAAACCACCTCGTGGTTGGGTCGGGAAACGTGATGTCTTTCTGCAAAAGGCCATGTCCAACTTTTGTCAAAAAGTGGAAGCTTAAACGCACTTCAGTTTAATTTGTTGTTCCCTTCAAGTGGAGTCTTAAAGTTTAAACCAGAAGTTTTGAGGTATGATTCATTTATTCCGTTGACTTTTAAAATTTAAAGTTTGCTTCAGTTTGCGTGTTTTTTGCTTGAAAGGAAATCTTCACCACCGATGCCGCCAACGATGAGCTGAAAGTTGCTAGGATCTTGCAAGGCACCAATCGGCCTTCTGGGGATCAGTTCTTCCCCAACCTAAAGGTGCGAATACGAGACAGATGCCATGCCGCAGCAAGGTTCCTTTGATGCAACCAAATACTTTTATTGTAAGTTGATTGGGGCTCATCCAAGTTCACAATGTCCGCACAAGCTTAGCAGCATTTAGCAGCTTTCCTATGCAGCAAGGATCACCAAAAAGAATTGGTGGGCGGATCCATACATCACCTGGGCCTTCCAACACTCATCATCACCTCGAATGATTCATTGGTGAGTCGGATTTGGCATTCTCCAGCTTTGAGAGACATTTTCCAGAAGTTTGCATCTTGGACTGAATTTGTCATTGTCCTCCGATCATCGCTGTCAGTGCATGGATCCAATTGTCAAGGCCAGTCATTGCTAATTCTAGGGATCCCGTGAAATCGTTGTTGTGCTCGGTCGTCAGTGGCCCTTGTAGGTGAAGCGATCTCTGAATTTCCAGGTGCGAGCGAATCGAGTTCGTGATTTGCAGAGTGCAAAGCATAGACATAGCTCAACTCAGAAGCCACTGGGAAGATTCGTGCTCTTTACAGATGCACTGTTGAGCACAGCTCAAGAGATTGTCAAGACCCGGACTGGCAAGCCTGTTGAATCTGCAAGGTCATTCCTCAGATCAATCAATGAAGAGAGCTTGCTTCAGTTAGCTCCTTGGTTTCCTGCTTATGTGTGTTGAAATGTTATTGAACCTGAAACCTTGAAGGGGTCAAGCAGAGTCAAGTCGTCGTTGTCGCAACTATATTTGACTTGTCATTAAGGCAATGTGCGCTGATGCAGGGGATGAAGAAAGCGAGATGATTCGCCTCCATGACAAGAGCCTTGTGGAGGTTAGTGAGATCCCCTTCAAGCTGAAGGGTTTGCTGCGTCGATTGGAGTGGTTGTTTGTGGACCGCAAGGCTGCATCAACAACAACTTACACAGCCTACATGATGCAGTGGCTGCAGCGGGAGCGGCTGATTCGCTTGAGTGATGGAACCTTTCGGAGACTTGGGGCCTTGGACCGCAATGATGAGATTGTTCTGCGATGCTTTAAGCGGATGGCAGCATGGGTAGGCTTGGTTGTGACCACGGTCCAAGCTGAATGGCCATCGTTTGAAACTTTGGCATCATCAGCCGCCTTTGCATTGAAGCCTGCCTTGAAACCAGCTGACGCAAGTGAAAACTTGAAGAAACTTGCAAAGGCCTTCAGAGTTGACTACCCCAAGCTGCAAGAGCAGTTCAATGACTTCAAGGTCACTGCCATCCGGGTCAGGTCCAAGCTTGACGACGGTAAGGAGACAGCCCTCAATGACCTGAAGGCTAGTTTGGGGTTATCTCCATGAAAGCTTGTGTAAGATGTCACCTGAGTGAAGCCCCAAATGAGCCATTCCTATCACTCTGTCGCTGTCATGCTATCGCTGTCATGCCGAGAGACCTAAAACAAGTTCAATCGGGTGCCTTGTTCGAAGGTTTTCTTGGTAAAAGAGCTCTTATTGAAGGGCACCACCTAACAAGTAGAGTTTAAAGCCATCTTAAAGCCATTAGCTTCTCAGTCAGAGGCATGGTCGCAATCCATTGGAATGAAGCTGGAGCATCCGTCGGGGACATCGCCCTGTGATGTCATTAGCTCCATCCTTTCCAAGGTGGTTGTCATGGCCACTGGATCCACAGCAGACAACGAGCGAGATTTTGCTCACAACACTCGTCATTACCTCAGGAGTTCTCGAGGACTAACCTGTGATGTTTGGCGTGCAGCAGAGAGAGGGCTATCTGAATCATGCAGTGGAAAGTCGCAAGAGTATCTGCACCAGCTTGCAGTCGAAGCGCAAAGAATTTGGCTGGAGGGTTTCAACGGGCCTCGGCAATCTGGCCCTGAGAAGCGGATGAACTTTGTCAGCTTGCAGAAGAAGAAGGCTGTGAACAAGAAGTCTTTGAACTCTTGGCTGAAACGAAGACGCAAGGCAGTCAATGCCGCAGTTCGAGCTTCATCTTCAAGTTGCTTGGTGACAGGTGATGAGGCTGACTTGAAAAGGAAAGCCAAAAGGCGTGCTGGTGATGCATGGTCAGATGGCCATGATCGGAAGGAAGGTCATTTGCAAAGCCTGATCAAAAAGAGAAGATTTGAAGCGCAAAAGTCAGATCAGCTCCTTGAAGACGAGAAGATGGGTGAAGCAGCCTTTACTGCTTTGAACAAAAAGCAGTCAAATGATGATTGGAAAGCTTTCAGGAAGCATCAGCGTGTGACAGCAAGTTTCGAGAAGAAATTGAAATCCCTGGAGAATTTGCTCAATGGCCGTGCGGTTTGCCTTCGACGTTTACCTTCCCTTGATGAGGAGGCGTGCCTGAGCCGATTGAAGCTTGAACGAATTTAAATTCTTATTGTTTATTATTTCAGGATATCGATTGAAGAAACATGCTAACTGGTGCAAACTCAGGCGCGAGATGCCCGTGACTACAACTTCTGACTTCAAGGTGGCCGACACCTATGTGGTCCAGGATGTCACGAATCCAGGACAAAGGGTCACATGGCAAGCCATGTTTAAGCCATCCTTGGTTGTGTCACTTCAAGCTGTGCTCCGTGGCGGTGATGGACCCTGGATCAAGCACAATCCAAATTTCACCACTAGTCACTTTGTCTTTATCACTGAATCTTTCCAAAGAGAACATAGCCACCTAGCTGATTTGGTCCGCTCGACTCTGAGAAGAAGGAGGCCTGGAGATTTGGTGATGAGATGGTGCCTTGAAAATGATTTGGGATCTTGGCAGGGCAAATTGGCTTCAAGAACAGGCCAAAGATTCCCAAAGCACTGCCTTGCACTAGTCACTGAGTCGGAAAAACGCAGCCGCCAATGGAAACATATTCCAGGAGCGATGACATCGAGATCCTTCGCAACTTGGCGCTACCCCAAATCTATCGAGCATTCATATCTTGCGCAGGCTCAGCTTTAGACATGCGTTTGTGCTTTCTAGACAAGCGTGGTTGTCACCATGTCTTTGTCAGACCTGGTTGAGAAATGTCCCAGGCGATGCAGCAGTTTGGAAGTCAAGAGTTGGGAGTCAAAAGCAGCTAGACTGAAGCAGCATTAGTCTTTTAAGCTTGCAATCATTGTCCTTGACGATCCCTGATCCCTTTCAAGTCAAACGAAATCATTGTCAGTCAGTTTCAGTGCTTCCAGTCATTTTGCTTGCGGCGTAACCTCACACACCGGAGTGACTCTAAGATTTTAATTAGTTCTACAGAATAAAGGCTAAGAAGCCAGTCATTGTCATTAAGAAGCAAACTTTGAGCCTAGAGGGGACTTGCCACAAAAAAAATCTCCCGACGGGGGACGTCGCCCATCTGGAGAATATTGTTATTTTCTCCCGATGGGGGACGTCGCCCATCTGGAGAATATTGCTATTTTCTCCCGATGGGGGACATCGCCCATTTGGAGACTTCTTAAACATCACCAAAATTCTGTACGATCTGGAGTCGACACGCCTGTGAGGGGGCGTATCAGCTCCCATCGGGACGTCGCCCAGTTGGAGGCCCGTATCAAAACAAAATAGTATGATTTGGACCTGACACGCCTCCCAGAGGGCGTATCAACTCCCAATCAAACCAGACGCATCTCCATATCAAAACCTAGAGCCTCCAAGTGGGGGACGTCGCCGATTGGGAGAGGACACGGGTGCTGGGGGGCGTCGCCTCTCCCGATGATACGCTGACTTCGTTACATTTTCAGATCTCTTTTCTTGGTTGCGTTTCGGGTTTGAGCTACTTGACTGAAATTTTAACATTCAACATCGTCCGGGCTCCAGGTGACTGAAGTTGTAGCAAGCTTTTTGTCTTAATTTTGACTCGTCGTTGTCATGTCTGGTGGGCGTGATGGAAGTGATAGCTGCTGGCCATCCTTTGCTGCTGGGGACGAACTGTCTGAGCATGGAACCCTTTCGCAGAAGACTTACCGCCTGGGTGATTTTGCCGTTGAAGGTGATGGTACCAGTAGCGACCTGACTGATGATGTCCTTATGAAGAAGCCAGCTGCAAAATCATCCAAACCTTCCAAGAAGAAGCCATGCGTGAGTGACTCCGGCTTGAAGACAGGGGCATCGAGGCCCAGCAAAACACACAAAACGAGCTTGAAGAAACCAGCTGCAGCGCCCAGTAAGAAAAATGATGAGTCGCAGCCGCAGGAGTTACCATCCGAGCAGGGGACACACACTCCGAGCATCCTGCCTGAATCAGATTCACCTGAACCTCAAGTTGGATGCAGCAAATGCAGGTACAAGGGATGCTCCAAGTGCCGGGCAAAAGTTCAAGATTGGCAAAGGCGCCATGAAAGCTGAACATTGACAAAGGCAGCAAGTGAGAGGGGGCCTAGGTTCTGTTGGTAGACCCTTAGATCTTGGAAACCAAGACGGAAGCTACACACCTGAAAATAGTTTTCACCTTCAGAAGTATGTCTTTGAGCGCTGGCTTTTTGTCTGTTGGTGACTCTGACAGTTGATACTGCACGCACACCATTGACTGAGTCTTGCTTGCTAGGCATGAGGCCTTTGTTTGTTGCACTCAATACTGCCATGTTTTTTAAGCAGTCAGCTTTCATATCATCTTAGAATCATTGTCGCTGACGTCGTTGTCTGTCTTGCTGCTATCAGATTTGGCTGTGAACTCAAAAGAGACCTTGAAAAGCTGCTTGCAGGGCTGACAAACATGGTGGAACAGACCAAGACTACCATCAAGATCGCCTCCGACTGTAGCGGAGTTGGAACAGATGCCTTTGCTGCTGCCGAGCTTGGCTTAACCTTCCGCTCCGTGTTCGCATCCGAGATTGATGCATCTTGTCGACAGGTGCTTCGAAACCACTGTGATCGGCCGGAGCGAATCCTGAAAGCAGCAGGGATTGGTGACAAGGTTAGCCATGACATCGACCTTTACACAGTGGGCATGCCTTGTCAACCTTACAGCAGTGCCGGAAAGCGCCAAGGCCGCCTTGACAAAAGATGCTTGGCCCCTTCGAGTCAAACACCACGACAACTAAAGTTTGTGTTTGTTTAAAAGAAATCAAGATGAACGAAAGGAATAAGTAGTAATGAAGAAATTTAACATGAATGCATGAATGCGTGAATGCATGAATGCGTGAATGCATGAATGAATGAATGAATGAATGAATGAATGAATGAATGATCAAACGAACGAACGAACAAACCAACGAACCAACGAATATGAATGCTGTTTGGTTGACTGACTGAGTGAGGTAATGAGTCAATGAATGGTACATACAACAAACGAGCACAGGTAGCAAACAAACGAAACCATACAAGAATGGAAGGGAGGAAGGAAGGAAAAACAAAGGAAGGATGAGATGAGTGGATGGGTGTTTCAATTAAATCCATCATATTCTGTTTTATGTGGCCTGCCATGCTGCGGTGTGTTTGAAGCATGAAACCTGATATCTTCAGTTTGAGCCCAGGAGATCTCAGCCAGAAAGTTGCCACGTACATCGCAAGAGCTCAACCAAGAACCTTTGTGGTTGAGAATGTGAAGGGCTTTGTCTCTAAAAAGCAGGCCAATCAAACACATACTGGATTCTGACTGCAGTGGCTAGCAATGAAAGTTCCTTAGGGTAGCCGTTCTGTTGCCATTGTGACATTGCAATGATTGGCCATGACTTCCGATCAATTGACTAAATTTATATAATAATTACCTACAGTTCATCGGATTGTCTTAAGTTTGTCTCAGCAGGATGCCTACAAGAAGTTTATCAAGACGATCAAGGATGCGAAGCTCAAGGCCAAACCATCTGTGCCGGCTTATCGCCTGAAAACTTTTGTGCTCAACTCGTTGTCATTCGGACTTGCGCAGCACAGAGAACGAGTCTACATCTTGGGTGTGCGCCAGAGTGCTTCCGGGTTGAAAAGGCCTTTGCCAAAAAATCCCACCCCGAAGATCAGCAAGAAGCCTGAGCTCGCAAAGTTCCTGCGTCCTCTGACAGTTTCTCCTGGGGATCGTCAGTTGAAGAGCAAGACAGCGAAGAAGAATTTCAGGTGGGCTTCAAAGACATACACGGGAGCTTCGGAGGCAGTGGTTGACTGTGGTGCTGGCAAAGAGTTCAGACAAGTGCGTGAGGGAGCGACACCAACCATCACTCGAGCACGGGGGGCATCCAGATCGGTCTTTTTGCTCAAGGAGCGTCGGTACTTAACCCTCCATGAGCTTGAGCTCTTGCAGGGCTTCAAGAAGATCAATTGGCCCAAGGGGATCCCCAAGACAAAGCGTGGTGCTATGATCGGGAACGCCATGAGCGTGCCAGTGCTTGCAGCAGCGATGAGAGCGGTGCTTGTGGCAGGCAGATTGTTGAAGAAGTGTGTGCAACTAGTAATTTCATGACTTCTGTGGAACTTTCCACAGTTGCTGGCTTGCTTGGCTCAAAGGGCTATATAAGTAATCGGTTTAGCCTGTCGCTGTCAACAAGTTCAGAACAATTCGTTGTCACCAAGACTTGGGCCCTTGAGAATGAAAAGAAGGTGTTTGACAACAATTTTTAGCTTCATCAGTGTCGCTCTGTCATTGCATCATTGTTTTGACTTGACAATGACTTTTTAGCTTCAGTGCCGCTCTGTCATTGAATTCTTGTTTTGACAATGACTTTATTTAATAATGCTTGAGTGTTGCCTAATTAAAGCTTGGTCGCTGTCATTGCATTGTTGTTTTGACCATGATTCTTAAGCTTCAGTGTCGCTCTAACAGTTCAGCAGTCCAATGGCTGTCAGTGTTAGCTTCATTAAATAATTCGCAGTCATTTTGAAGTAAGTTTGCGGACCTTCAATCATTGTCATGGGGCGGCGTCCTGCTTCGGCCTCGGCCGCTGAGAGACCTGCCAAGCGGAAAGCCAGTGCGAGCGCAGCGGATGTCAAAGTCAACACCAACCTCAATGTTGAACACTATGCGGAGGTATCCGCCGCCTGGGAGCGGATCATGGCCCATGATGCATTCCGTGGCATTGTTGGTGAATCTCCGCTCAGCTTGAAGAGTGGCGGCCTCTGCCAGCCCGTTGACTACGATGTCATGGCAAGAAAGATGGAAGCTTCTGAGGACTATTTGGCTGGCATCAACGCTGCCTGGGTATCATGGTCTTGGACTGTCACACCAGGTGTGCCGATCAACCGCACTGGAGATTCTTTGACAGTGATTAAATGAATTTGTGATTTGTGTTTTAGTTCAGTCATGGAGCATCTCATGGCTTGTCTTAAAGGGACCTCTCTTCGCTTTTTCACCTCAGGTCAGGTACCTCATGAACGCTACATTCCGAGAACCTGCTCCTTTGACTTTGGAGCTCGCTGTCGAGGAGGCCTCATCATGGCCAGGAAAGCACAATGGGATGCTGCGGAGATGTTCACCTGAAGAAGAACACCATGCATTTGTGCTGTCGACAGACAGGGACCTTTCAGTTGGAAAGAACGTGGAGGGTTGGGTGGCCGCTTGGAAGTCCTGTGTTGCTAGGATGGTGAAGATCACGTCCTATGAGGCCATCTTTTGGCAGGCAGCAAAGGCTCGGGAGCGAATCGGTGAGCAGTTTGACTGCCTCTACTATTCGACAGTACTTTGGCAGAAGTAGCATTGAATGAGTCGATGTCTTGTCATTGTGTTGACATTGAACTTGCAAAATGAAGGGTTGAGCATTGACTCCGTTACTTGTTTTATTGCTTGTCAGCCAACTTGCAATTTGAAAGGTTGATCAGCTGAGCGTTTTATTAACTGTTTTCTTGCTTGTTGGTTTGCCACTGGCTGACTGAGTTGCAGCGCATCTTCCATTTGGTACAATGGAGAAGCGAGGAAGAGTCCCGTGCGGGACACAAACTGACTGCAGGTCAGTTGTGGGCTGCATTCAACTCCAACCTGACGGTCACCCATGGAGAGAAGATCACCGAGAGCTATTCGAAGCTGGCAATTCAAATCCACGACAACCTCCTGACGAACGCCAGCATTCGCTCCCTTCTATTGAGCAGCGAGCAGTGGTTTGGAAAGAAGGGGCCGCTTGACTCTCTTTACAAATTGGAAGCCATTTCCCAGATCGCACGCAGCCCTGCACACGTTGAGTTTGTGCTTTCCGGCCTCTTTGACCATGTGGTGAACAAAGTGATCCGGATTGGGGATGTGTCGGTCTCGGCTTTGAGCGGCCGTAAGTCAGCTGTTGGCAAGGGGTTGCCAGCTTAGTCCCAATGGACGTTTGATGTTTGATGATGAATCTCTTGCTCATTGTCTTTTATTCATCGCTGTCCTTTGAGTCAGGCTTGTCCACATGTACATCTTCAAGTACGAAGCCAAGCGGCGCCTCTTCGCTCACGTGGATGAGTCAGGGCTGGTTAGCTTTGAGGATTTGGAAACTCTCAAGAAGGCAAGGCCAGTTGTTTTTTTTGGTTTATTAGTGCCCTGTAGTCTTTGGGAAAGATTGAATTGTTTTGGTTTGCTGTCATTGTCTAGCTATGCCAGGCGCTCCATGATCCTGCCAGCTATCGAGCACACACTGGAGGGCGTCCATTTGGCAAGTCTCCAGACTTGAAGGAGGGCCATCTGGATCCCAGCACAGCGCAGGTGGCTGCATCGGACATGACTTGGCTAGGAGCGCTTTCGCCAGTGGCCCAGCATGCCTTCAAGTTCATCTCTGACTTCATCTATGGGACAACCTATGACGCAGCTATCAGGAATGGGCTCCGATACAACCACAAAATCGATGATGTCTTGAAACATCAAGATGTGGAGCCAGAGTGGAAGAAAGTCATCTCACCTGAAGACAGCAAGGAGAATGAAACCAAACCGCAGGATCTCTCTGAGGAGCAAAAGTTGGAGAGCAGCAACTGGAAATCCATTCATGATTCATTTTTCTGTGCAAGTTCTGTTTTCTTCAAGCCAGTAATACTCTTTGCTTGGGAAATCCTCAGCCATTTTCTTATCTCAGGTGACTTCGCTATGATCTTGAGAATGCAGCCACCTGGGGCAGAAGAGAAGATCCTTGGCATGGAGAAGCAAGAGCAAGACATCTTGAAGGATGCTCAGAAGGACGTGACTTGAATCGCTGTCTTTTAATACTATATTTAACAATTAATTAGACTTTCACACATTAAACCCCGTACTTCCCCCTTGCAGAATTGAAATGTCAAACCTGGCCGAGTGATTGAGTTGTGCACGCTGAAGCAATTTGTGACTTGTCATTGTAAAATCGTAGTTGACTCAGACGCTTCCTGCAATGGTTGGTCATTGTCTTGGCAGTTCCTCTGATCGATGCGAGCCTCCTTTGAAAAGACTCAAGAGCACAGCAGTGATCGTTGTGGAGGATTGTGTTGATGGAAGGACTGCGGCATCATCAGTGCCTCCCCTCTCAACAAGCCATCATGTGCCGCTGCTGTCCGACAGTCAATTGCCAGAGGAATACCTTTGGGGAGATCAACACCCAAATGATTGCGGATGCCATATTTGTCACTTGCTCTTTGGCAACCCTGAATTTGATGATGCTGCGTGGTACGCGTTGGTCAAAAAGCAGCGTCGACAGCTTCTAGCCGAGCGTGGCATTGCACCCTCTGATGATGAAGAGCAGGATCCAGCCGACTGCAGCAATGAAGCCCAGAGTTCAACTCCCTGAGCAGCCTGAGATTTCGACAGGTGAATTTAATTCAGATGGCACTAATTCAGCTTTAATTTAATTTTGGTAGACGCTCAAGACAGTCAGTGTCAGGCTAAAAGTGTCAGACTTGATCATTGTCATCATCGTTGTCGAACATTGCGTAGAGTTTTTTCAAAAGCATTCAAAGCATTGCTGTGGGCAGGACGCTCAGGACTTGGTGCAGCGTTCTTTGTTCACTGTGGACGGCAATGGCAGTCTGGTGTCGCTGGCCAAAAATCTTCGTGGCTGTTCCTTTGCGTCGCTGAAAGGTGATGTTGAGAAGAGCACACTGCACATCTACAATGTGGACGCATCTGGGGAGAACGCCAATGGCCGAAGGCATGGGAGCACTGCTTAAGATGTTTTTTGTTGTTTAATCAGTCAGTCGTTGAATTCTTGTGGATGGGGGGCGGAAGTGTGTAAGGGGAGGGCTTGAAGACTTCAATCTCTCAGTTGTTTTTTATTGCTGCCTTGCCAGTGTGGTGCCCTTCCGCAAAGATCACATGGAGAAATGCTTCAATGCGATGTTGTCCTGTCGCGCCAGCAGTCCGATAGACTTTGATGCGGAAAAGGTTGTCATTCCAGACATGGATGACTCAGACGTGAAGCTTTGCAGCAAGTTCATTGTTAAAAGTGTTCATCTGTCATTGTCTGTCGCTGTCCAGCAGGTTAGTTTGTGACACTGTTTGTGACCCCGATGCAGCTTACATTGCGTGTTCTTTTCCATTTTGATCATCAGGTTTCTTTTCTTGGATTCCGGCAGAGAAGGGCTCTGGGGGCACTTCAACTCAGCATTCCCTGGCAAGATCTTGGCCAAAAAGTTTTACATCAATTATACCCAGCAGTCGGTCAAGAAATGGCGCGACGAACGCTGTCCGAGCGGAAGCTCGCTTGGTCGAGGAGTGCTCAACCTTTCCTGCCTCGAGGCTTGTTTGATCGCCGCAGGGAAGAATTTGCCCTCCATCATTGGCAATCGCGACAACAAGTACCATGGTGGATCATGTGAAGTCAACGTGATCAGTGGAGTGTCGAAGGTGTTTTGGCTATATCGAGGTAAGTATGTGCTGGCTCTTAATTAAAGTGATTGACATTTGTTGTACGGTTGTTGACTTTTTGCCTCCAAGGTGAACCCGTCAGCTTTGACAAAGATAGCCACGAGCGTAAAGCTCTCAATGTTGGCTGACAGCCAAGTGAAAGATTCTGCCCGATCCAGGGCGACGGCTCGCGATGACGGACACGATCGTGAGCCCATGGCATGGGCCCCGTTGGGACATGGATTGATGAGCGAGTTGGTCCACCGCTTTCGACCAAAAAGTGTCACACTCTTTTGCGCCAGTGACCCGGTGGAGATCCTGCCCATTTTGGAATGCAAGATTCCAGTGGTTGCCTTCTGTGCCTTGCTTTGATTGATGATGTCACTGTCAGACAGTCAGAGTCTAACCATAAAAGTCTAGTGGCCCATGCCAGCAATTTTTTAATCCACGGTAATTTAACTCAGCCGCAACCCACCTCAGGCCATTCAGATGAGCATGCCACCTGGTTCCGCAAGGTTGCCTCGAGCTGTGTGTTCAAGTCCTTCATCAATCCGCAGAGCAAGCTGTACAAACCAGAAGTTGCAAAGCTTCTTGTGAGCGAGGATGGTGAAGGTGGCTGTGAGGAGGAGGACCGGCCTTCCAATGAAGATGGTGGTAAGGGAAGGGGCGCCGGCGGAGGCCGCGGTCGCGGTCGTCCAAAAGGACGTGGGCGCCCAAAGAACCCCAAAGATCAGGAGGACAATGAAAACGATGATGATGGCAATGAAGATGACGACGAGGATGAGGAAGGACAACTGAGCGAAGAAGCAAACTCGGAGTAGGCTTGAACTTTTCCCGTTAGTTGGCTGCCTAGCAATTCAATTCCTTTTCTCCACCAAACATTTATCGTTGTCGTTGTCGTCATTGTCAGAGCAGTGCCCATAAAAATAAGAATCTCTTAGCTGAAGCGCTTTAAGAGCAGCCATTTTTTGACATTTAAGGTGTCGTTCAGCGAATCTTGCGGGCCAATGGCTCTGTGATGGGAAGGAAAACATCCGACGGGCATATGTCGCTGTTGTGAGATTGCAGTTGGTTTGTTGTTGTTGTCATCATTTAACTTGATCCAAGGGTCCGCCACCCTTGGAGCTTTAGTTGTTTTTGTGTGCCTGTGACATCCTGGACTTGCACATGTCGGACTTAACTAACTGACAAAAACATTCCTCAGACTCATTGAAACTCGGAATTGGGAATGAATTTGTGACACTGTCTTTGAATTTTTTGCAGCTTGCTAAAGAAGGCTTAGGCAGCTGGTGATCCGCTATAAATCACCCCAAGCAGCCATGGGCAAACGATGTGTCAAGATGTTGCTCTTGGGGTGGCAGGTCAACGATTGTCATCTCAAAGCGTGCCACTAGACTTGTATTTATGTTTGTTGACTTGAATCGATGTCCTCCAAGACACTAAACTGAACTTAGTTTGCACACTCTTGCAGCTTGCAGGTACCTGTGAGACAGCCAAGCCGAAAAAAACAAAACATGGAGGCAAGCTCTTTGACCCACCTTTGAAGAGAAAGAAGCGTTGGGATGGGGTTGCAATTGTCTCGATCGGTGTCTTTGGGTGACAGTGATGCATAGCGTCGCCTCAGACAAAGATGCGCAGCATCTCAGACACTGATGAGGGGGAAAAAGGCTTCATTGGGCCAGTGCGTGGGTCGAAACTTCTGACACTGTTTTTGGTGCTGGTGTGTGTGTGTGTGGTTATTACAATTCTGCTCCAGCCACTCTGCTGAGGTGAGAAAGCATCCATGTATGAGCCTACTGTGATGGAGGCCTGGACTGGGGTGTTTTATTCCGTGATCAAGTAAGTCTTGGGACAGCGAACCTACTAGTCTAAGTTTTCAGGGAGGGACAGCGAACCTACTAGTCTTGGGACAGCGAACCTTGTGGTCAGATTCTGCACATGAACTGCGTGGATTAATATTAATTTAATTGATGACTCTCTCGATCATTGAGTTTTTAAATTGTCAAGTCTCAGTCGAATCACATGCTTGCAGGTGGCGGCCTGAACCACAGCTGTGCAGAGAAAAGTGACTTGCGCTGGCTGCTTTGGTTTCTCAGGGGGCCCACTGTCGCTGTCACTCACTCACTATCGCTGTCGCTTGTTATACTTTAATGAAACCATTGTGATGGTATTCAAGATCCTCAGGTGCAACTTCAGCACCCCCTTAAACAGCAGCCAGATACCTTGAAATACAAACACACTGCACCATACTCTAATACAGGATCATACACAGGACCATACTGGATACACATACCAAATACAGGACCATACTGGACCGCGCGCCCACCTCAGGTGGTCTTTGACGTCGATCAGACGACGCGCAGCTCTCGACGTGCGGCCCGGTCAATGCGGCCTCAAGTGCAGCTTCTGCATCAGCCTGGGCGAGTTTGCGTTCCAACCTGACCTTATAGAACCCCGTGGTGTCATGGAGCATCTCATTTCTCTCATTTCTTCACCCAGAAAGCGGAATTGGACCACCATTTTGCCACACCACCAGGCCGTTTCTTGGAGTCAAGAGTCTGATGGAAGACCATATCTCTGTCCAAGGCACCTTCACCTTCTCAGGCGTGCTGCTGGAAGGCACCTGCCGTGTGGAAGACAGCTTGTGCACAAAGCGGGGGACTACTAAACAAATATATATATATTGATAATCATATCGGTTGAGGGTTGAGGACAATAGTGTCTATAGTCTAAAAAAAAGTGTTCACACCAAAAGGAAGAACCGCCCATGAGCCCATGATGTGTTGATTCTCTATCGAGAGATGTCTTCCTTTGCTCTTCGCCCTCTTCTCCTTCAACTGTTGTTGCAAGCCATCGACTGGAGGCTGGTCACGTCCATACTTCCGTACCAGTCCGGCACACCGGCGCAAGTGCCGCACCCCAAAACCGGCAAACACAGTCACCGTCGGGCGGGGGAGACTTCGAGTGAAACCCCGAGCGAATAAATGATATGATGTCGTCTTTGCTGTTTTTCGGATGATGTTTTCGGCACTCGATGCTTTCGTTCGTCCCTCCAAAAGATACGTATCCCGCTTCTCCGTGGCCTCCAAGAGTTCCTCACTCTTCACGAAACCCGCGGACAACAGCAGCTCCTGAGCGCCCAAGCAGCTCAACGCTTTGCCTTAGACCGCCCGGTAGATCCGCCGGTGGATCCGTTGGTGAATCCGCTGACGGTCCAACGGGGTGTTGGGGAAAGAAGTGGGTTTCTCCGCGACGGGGGCTGGGACGTGACTGTAGCAACGTATAATCAGCGCCAGTAAGCACCATATAACATGGTCTTAAAATGTCTAGCAACACAATATATATAGAATATACATAGGGAAACATCTTGAAGGAGGCGATTCAATAATTTTATATATGACAATTCAATTATGTTGTACACATACAAAAAATGCCATACATTTGGGGAACTATTGATGTCTTCCCCCCCGATGATTGTTCAGGCACAGGTAAATCCCTTGATGATCTTGGTAGCGCTTTAACACCAGCTTGTATGCTTCACTGTTGTCCTATATTACACCGCATGATTTTTGAAGCCTGTGCATGTCTTCGAGTATGTGTTTTCTTGCTCTGAACCAATCCCATGTATATGTCATGTAGACTAATTACATATGCATGCTTACTCTTCTCTCGTGTCTAGTGTCTAGCCTTGTGCACCGTTCCAACATGTTCCCACCATGTGCATCGGGCATGAGCCGTCGCTGCGCATCGAGCGCTTTTCGCATTTGAGAACTGCTGATGTTTGTGATGTGTAATCCCAGACCATGCATGTATGGAATACACAATGAAAGCATCACATGGTCTGGAATACATTGGTCATCTTAAATTGTAATGTATGGAATATAATTTACATTGACAATTGAAGCATCTTAAAAATCCCCCAAATGTATGTAAGCAACTCATCCAGTCCCAAAGGCGTCGAGCACGTCTCTCTGCTGATCGTGGGCGGAACCTCTTCTTCACTCCATTGGACACTTTCTTGCCTCTGCGCTCACGCTCAGTGGTCTTCAGTCGTCTCCTTCCGCTTCCCTTTTCAGGCTGCTGATCTTTGGGTTGGACAGCTTGACTCGCCGGAACTTCTCCTGACTCGCTCCCGGGGGATCGGTCCCGTTCCGATGTCCGAGTCGTCACGGACCGGAGAGGGTTCCGAACGGGTGACGTTTTATGCTTGGCCTATAAGTCGAACATCTCAACTCTACATCAACTGGACACGTTTTTCAACCACCGACATGCAAGGGTTAAAGGGAGGAGCTTCATATATTTGGGTGCTCGCCGCTTCGACTGTCCGCGATATAAATACGGAGATCCCCAACCAACCGGTAGACTTGGCTATCTTCCTTCTTCCGGTCGTTCAATGGGAGGTCTCCCTACCCATTTCCCATGCGACTCCAAGGACGACACAAGGATGTCACAAGGAACGCATGCGAACGCATGAGAACGCCGGTCGCCTCGGAAGGATTCTTCACCTGAGCTGCGGAAAGGTCACTGGTTGATTAAGAAGGGTAGGGATTGTCGAGGAGGTACTGATCTGCATGGTTGACTGGCATTCCGCATATGATTAGTTAGCAAGTTTGTATGTTATATTAAAGATTGCAACTGTGATCATTGGCCTTCCAGTCATCAGCTGAACAAAAAACAGCTTCCAGGTCAGAAATCAAAAGCCAGTTATATATTAATTAAAGTTATACAATCACTGAATCCAAGCTGTTTTCCACCCGGCGCCCAATGTCCCGTGGCTTGAGGCATTCATTTCATCTTACTCCAAGCATCTCACCCTGCAAAGGAAACGCTGGTTCAAAGGCAAGATGTCAGTACGTTTAATTCGTTCAATTGAAAGGTTCTCTTAGTGAATTGACGATTAATCAAAACAACAAATAAAGCAAAGGACACTGTTCGGGGCCAGGCCATAGTTCCTATATGATTCCCACATATAAGCGCCCAGTGCCTTCTCAGACCAGTGGCCAGATTCCCCAAGAGCGTGGTGAGCACCGCCACACTGTTCGCTTCTTTAAGCGTCTCGGCCGTGTTCTCTTCCCGGAGCCGTCGCACCGCAAAGGCGCCAGCGGTGCGAGCGCCACTCGCCTGGTGTTCGACCGTTTTCGGCTGGGAACGTCACCACCAAGTCGACGGCCGGACAGGCACGCAGTGTGAAACGAATTTGGAGGGTCCAGTTGACATGAACAACCATGGACCATGGACGTTTTGACCGAGCATATACAATCGAAGATATTTCAGAGGGGAGACAACATCTCTGTAATGATAAATTGCAATACAACTAGAACCTCCATTGGATCGAAGCCACACCAAAAACATCTGCCAATAACATGGTCTCTATATCGGTGGAAGAGCAACCAGAGCAATGAACATTGACAACTCATGTCAACTCCATCAGCTCTGGCATCTTCAGCCTCATTAGGCTCCATCGACATGGCCAAAGCTGCTGCGAGGTCATCCTCCGCCATGGCAAGTTGTGTATGCACTTACTTGTTGTGATCTTTGTTAGATTGTGAGGCTGGACTGGATAGGAGCAAAACAAACTGGAGCTCAGCATATGTTAATTGTATATAATATATATATATATATAGCACCAATGACACTTTGCACTTGTAGCTGCAGCTGGGCATTTCATCTGCTTCATTGCATCAAAGGGATATGGATATGGCTTCGGGCCAAAGGGTGAGGCAAACAAAGAAACATGTGGCGGAACGCTTGTGACCTCCGTGGGCTTCCACATGCTTCGAGCGCCGAGGTTGCCTATTCCGCTTTTCAAGACCGAGTGCTGGGGATTTGTGCTGGACAAAGCACACGAATCATGTAACATCATGAGAACTCATGACAATGACATCATGAGACGCAAATCATCATGAGACGCAATGCAGGGAAGTTCTGGAACTGGCCCGCCCATGCCGACGACTTGTTCACCCCACAGGAGTGGACGGAAACCAACCAACTCCAATTGAGTTGGATGTTGGATGTTCTTTGCGTGGAGGACCGGTGCAAAAGATGCCATCCCCATTCCCCCCATCCCGCGCCAGCCAAGGCCAAGGCCATCGCCACCGTGGGAAGGCAGTCTTTTCCGGTCGGTGACCGGTCGTCGGGCGCACAGGCAGCGGTTTCAGCCTGAGGTCAACAGCCTTCGGTCTGGGAATTCCATCCCTTCATCCGCAGAGGTCAGTTGCCTTCGTGATACCCAAGCGCTCAGAAATAAACCCACCATGAGGCAGCACAAGCCGATGATGTCCTAAGGCAAGCACCGCGGCATGGCTTTCTGAGCGACATACAGATCTCTATTTGAGAAATGAGTTGTATACTATGATTACTGAGTTTATTCATTATATATATATATATGTGAACACGAGCTTGCTCAAACATGTACAAACTCTAAGGACAATCATGCAACACCGGATATTGATCGCTGTGCGGATTCTATGGATAGTACCGAAAGGCTCTCTACCAACAAGACTGTCCAGGTGCCAGGGCCTGTCCGCAGAGTGCGAAGTCCCGATTTGGAAGCTTGATTACCGTAATCCTTTTCTTACGCCCTGGAAGAGAATGACATGGAACCCGAAAACCATTGGGTTCTAGAGGAAAATCGTCTTTGAAAAGGTCCATTTTCCGGTTCCATCTTCCCGGGTGTAGATCCTTGCCTATCATTACACCAGTGGGTGCTCACACTGGCTGCTTGCCTTTCCAAGTGTCGATAGTACCACGGAGCTGCTTGAGGCCCAAGATCTTCTGCCAGGGTGAATCTGCCAGAAGTAGCACCAGCACACAGCTGGTCAAGGGCTGCAAGGTGCTTTGCAGCAACGCGCAAAGTGGACTTCGGAAGGACCTGTTAAGGCCGACCGTTGACCATTGAAAGCCTTGGCTCCGCATGGCACATGGGCTTCCAAAGAATCTCTGTGGAACATGGCAGCCTTTTTCATCAAGTGGGACAAAGAAAAAACATCAGCACATGAATCGACTCTTCTTAGGTCATCATCACCATCAACTCATATCACCATCAACATCCATCAACTGATATGACTCAAGATGGAGGGTGATGACCAAGCAACATTTCATGAACGCCTTTTCTGCACTGCTTTGCCCAACATCGACACGTTACTCATCTCCAAGGAGCCAATGGTGATCAGAACACTGCCAATGAGCAACATGGCAGAGCTGTGGTCTGCCCACAAGGAAGAAGAGACAATTGTAGACCATGGCGCAACACCTGGAGGTTGTGGGCAATAAAAGTCAAACAAAAGGGGTCTCAGGATTGGTACCGCGTCATGGTGGCAGTCACACGCATTCAAAAAAAGAACAGGGTGATGGACAAGTCACCTCCTAAGCTCTAGACTCTAGACCAGTATGTGTGTCACATGACAAGGGTAGTCATTGGTGGGCCCTCTTTGAGCCGTCGTTTGGTCCTCTACAAAATGACCTTTCTCCACATCCATGGCTTCTCTCATTGGGTAGAGATCAACCCTGGTTTATGGCACCCTAACATCACATCCCTGGTTGGTCCGAACATGAGAGCGAACATGAACTCCTCGTATACGCATATTTTCACGTTAAACGTAGTAGACTGCACGTGGTGCCATGACCCAAACATATGTATGTCATGAACGTAATGCATGTACAGTAATGTCATGTAATGTATTAATGTCATGTAATGCAATGGAATGCAATGCGATGTAATATGATGTAATGCATGGATGTATATTATGCAAATGTGCCCGGTCTTGTCAGAGTGGCCTTCAGTAATGATGGCATAGGGAAGACAAAGGCATGATGTGACCATCAGCTTAAGCTGTGCAATCTCCAGAACGCTGACCTTGGGCAAATGCTTCACCCCATTAGGCGCAATGGCATTCTCACCATGAAACAATGCAACAAGGTTTAATGGTTGTCTAAAATAGTCGACTGCTCTTCATGGATGACCCACGCCTTACGCTCCTTACGCTCCTTACGCTCGAAGAAAAAGGCCCAAGATCTTCACCCCGAAGACCCTAAATAGCGTAAATAGCACCCCGAAGACCCTAATGACGAATTATTTCGAGTCAGAATTTTGTTTGGCTTTGCCTCAAGAACACCCTATCTGACTTACCCCAGACCTCTGAACCCCACTCTCCCCACTCTCTCCCGGCTGCGTCCCGCGTCTGTGAGTCACACCACTCTCTCCGCGCGACGGTCTCTTCCTTGCCCGGGCCGGACAAGACGACGCAGCAGCTCCGCAAGGCCACAGTCATCGAGGCCTGGCACCAACGGCACAGCAAAGCCGCCAGCAGCGCATCAAACGCGTGGGAGCTGGAGCTGGTGAAGCTCAAGCAGCAGGTGCCCAGAGTGGTGAAGAACACCTCGGAGCTTTTCTCTGGGGGGGGGCTTGTGGTCCGGGGAGCGTCCTTCTCTTGATTTCCAGGGTGTGAAAGTGGATTCGTCCTGAACATTGAGGGTTTGTACATTTTTGGACCAGTTTGGGACACTTCCGTGGATGGATCAAATGAACAACTTGGATGAAGTGGGATGGCGCTGAGACAAGCTCTGTCATGCGATTGTGTCTGTTCTCATGTCATCAACAGTGCAGTATAAGCAAACAAAGAAAATCAGACTCTCTCCGATTGTCTCCGATTCACAAACATGGAGGGGTCTTTCTCCGTGTGTCAACGTCCCTGTTTGTGACCAAATGAACCTAAACATAGACTGTTCATGAATAAAACAAACATAAACTCCCTCACATGGAGATGCATTAACGTGCTTGAATACAGTAATTAGGGGGGCTCATTCAACAACCTGTCTACATTGCCCTCTTTTTTCTGTAGGCGCCAACCACTCACTTCAACTCCCGTCCTGTGTCTCTCCAAGCAACCGCAGGGAGGTCCTGTGCTACGGGTCTCCGTCGCTCCTCGTGTTGGCAGCAGCGAGCCAGGCACCACACGAAGAGCAGTTCCGAAGGAGCAGTCAGGGCGAACGTCTCGTAGCTGAGGTAATTGGCCCAAGTGGATAAAGTGATCACCAGGAACCTGTGTGAAGGATGGGAGACATGCTGAAGGGAACGGAACCGTCAGGAACCGAAGAGCCCGGTCAACCGGGTTGATGGAGAATCATGGCTTCCTCTATATTGAGGTATTCTTTTTGGAAGCGAGAGTGCAAAACAGGGAAACCCCTTCGATGCTCTTGGGCCATCTATGAAGGTTGTTTCTTTCGTTTATAGTTACTGTTTTAAACAGGGAACATGCTCGGACACCAGCAAATAAGCACGGAACATGGATGTTTCACTAGGAAAGGCAAGGGAAAAAATTGGTAGTCCATAAACACAGCCCTGGGTCAAATCTGGACAGATCAATTTGTATCCACCAAAAACAATGAACCACGGACGCCCGAAACGCCTTAGCCGCCCAGTGACACGAAAATGCCGGGCGGAGCTGCCCAGCGTAGCTTCTCGCACCAAGGTCGGCTAGAGCCTTCACTCTTCAGCGACACTGCACAGCGCAGCAAGAAGAGAAAGCAACAGGCCGCGATCGTGTCAATGGCCGAGACGGTGTTTTTCATGCCTCAGTGGTTTGGACAGCATGCAACACAAGAACACGACAAAACACAAGCGCCATGAGTGCTGATGGTGTTGGGGTCTAAATAAGTCTAAATAACGTCTAAGAGTCTAAATGATTCGTGTCTTGTGTGAGCGCCAAAACCGCGCCGAAACCGCGTTGGCGGGGCAAACACCAAGTTCAACCCACTTCGGAGCTTCAAACAAAGGTGTATGGAAAGGTCTGGATCGATGACCGAAAGCTCTAGATGCTAAAGAAATTGTAGAAGTAAGCCGCTGGCCTTTTGAAGCTTGCTCAAAAATTGGGGTGACACATGGTGAAATGTCGACACCAAACCAGTCTTTCCACCCACATGTGATGTTTTGAACAATCTGCACGGTTTTGTATCACAAAGTTTGGTCTTCTTGCCGAAACGGATTGGTCGGATCGGCCAACCGTGGGGCACAGCAAACTTCCAGAGAATCCACAGGATCCACCGGTTCCAACCGCAAAAAGTGGGGGCAAAAACGTGGTGGCGACCTGGAGAGGTGTGTTCGGGTCAGCCAACACTTCCAAGATGCAACCGGGAACAACCTATTGACGGCCTGTAGGGACCCGATGTGTCCGTCCTTCAGCCATTCCTCCAGGCGACTTCCGTGCCCGTGGCGATAAAATGCCTTGAGCTCAGGATGCAACACCGTTCCAAAGGCAATAACCAGCACCACATAGGCAGCGCTGGAATACATGGAGCCATGCTCTGTCACCATGTCTCTGTGAGTAAAGGACAAAATTCGATGATGCGAGTATCATCTGAGTCTAAAATATAGGTTCCAAAGTTAATGGCAAGGTAGGTGCCGCTGACTGGGACCCCTTCAATTCCAGTCAATCAGATCTGTAGCTCTAGTTCCAAAAGAACGGGATTCCTAAGGAGTCATCCCGCTTCCAGTGATTGATGTTGGACTGTGCGGACTGTGCATCCGCGTGTACAACATGTGCGGAACAAAATGGGGAGTGGAACCGGTGGATCTCTTCTCGCTGGGAAAAGCCAATTAACCACAATAACATTCAGCACCACCCAGGAACCGGGTGGTGATTGGATGGAACATGCAATACATGGTCAAGGGGGTCTATACTCTATACTACACCAACCAGTTGCTGGATCTTGTCTCGTCTCATACCTATTGGCCAGGCTCGCTTGGAACCAAAACAACCTCCGGCAAATCACCAAACACCGCAAAAAAATAAATCCGCAAGCTTTCGAAGCTTTGTCAGGCCGAAAACGGTAATTAACATGAACACAATGCCTGAGCTGCGTCCTCCTGGCAAGGACCTTGACCCTTGACCGACCTCCAGCCTGACCACTCCACTCTCTCACTCTCTCACTCTCTCTCTCTCTCTCTGTCTCTCTCTCTCTCTTTTTCGGTGTGACCACCAGAGGACCGCAGGTCCACAGCTCCACAGGCATCCAGCTGTGCCTGGCAAAGCTCGAGGCCTTTGCCTCGCAGCTTGGCCTTGTTCCGTGCGGGGATCAAGGGCGTGTCCGGGTAGCTGGTGACCTGACGTGGCCATCTGAAGACACATGCATCAATCAACATCAAACCATATCAAACCACTCATGGATGTTGCAAGGATGAATGGAACGCGGCTAGAGATAGCCCACTCAGATGGTGAGAAGTTCCGACCCTTGGCATGCTCCAATCCGCTCTCCTCTCGGCACCCACCACAGGATGTGGTCGGTGCTTCCAGCCAACGCCTGACACGTCGCGACCTGGGCTCTCCTGGCCGCTCGCATCACGTCTGCCTCTCCTCGATTGGCCGGATCCGTCCGGAACGGCCTTTGGATTGGCAACGCTTGACTTCTCAAGGCTCAACGTGATGTCGCAAGAAGACACAAGTGTGTTGAACACATGTTGAAACAGTGATCAAAAGGGCATGGAAGTCCGACTCCGAACTTCCAGGGTGTTCGGATGCCCGAACTTCAATTTCAAAACTTTCCAGAAAGGACAATTGAAGCAGTGGTGTTTTCAGGCATCTCTTAGGTCCCTCAGGATCCCTCAGGTCCTTCGACTTTCGGTGCAGCCGAGCATCGGAGCAAATGGATGGTCGGAAAGGGGGAGCGAATCGTGAAGTCGGCCGCATCCGGTGGCCCTTCGGCATAAACACTGTGGACAGCAGCTGGATGAAAAAGCACCTGCTCCCGCTGCTGTAACTGCTGTGACTGCGTCGCTCCCCGTGCGACGCGACGGATGGGATGAAGCGAGGCCGAGGGGTGTCGGTGTTCCGAGGAGAAGGCGCCGCGGATGGGTGCCGCGGATGGGGTGTTCCTTCGTCTGAGACGGGCAAAGCATGTTGGACAGTCTCTTGCTGGTGCCAGTCAGCCATGAGCCATGAACATCCATGAACGACTTGGCAGAATGCCTTCACAACCCAAAGGCTAGGCCCTCATTGCTAGGGTTTTGACCCTCACAACTAGGGTTTTGGACCTCACATAAGTTTGAAGCTTCTGGGAGGCTTGGTCTCCTGATGCTGTGTTTGGGTTGGAGCCATGTATATATATATATATCGAGGAATCGTGGCAGTTCTTTGAGAACTCTTGATTGATACTGCAAAAAAAATAAGGTCAATAATTTCTAGAATCGTCATAGATGAAATGATGGCAACTTGGCCATTTGCCATGGCGCCCCCGTCTTCATAAGCCAACCCTGAACCCGTCACCACCAAAGGGCTCCCTTTGGGCCGGCAATCTGCAGAATGCTGAGGCCAGGACAATTTGCAAGAGCTCTGCAAATCCTGGAAAACACAAAACGGCACCAACAAGAACACTCAACGGACGCCAAAACGGCGTCCTTTACTGAGATGGACTTCTAATGACTGGGGGAGATCCTGTGGAGACTTGTTCTTGTCAGCTGGCCGCCTGGTCAAGACTTCAATGGCTGCGCGGCAGAGCCGCGCGTCGTTTCAAACCCTCACGGCCCTCACGCCTTGCCCGTGGATGGCTCGTTCTTGAAGGGTCCATGACCTCGTGCGACCGGCGATGTACCGGCCCAAACGGTCGCCCTGCGGTCGTCGGTCGGTCGCTGGTGGGTCGCTCCCGTGCGGTGGTGGTCGCCCGACGAAGCCGGTCGGTTCGCTGAGGCGACCGACAATTGGACGAAACTTTGCCAGGTGGAACAGCAAGTGAGCTGCGGATCAACGACCAGCAAAGTGGTCTCTGGTGCACCTCAAGAACTCCCCCGGCGCGGTGGACTGAAACCGAATAGGATATTGGAGAAACTGCTAAGACTTTGGCTGCTACTGCTGAGGAGTGCTGATTCTTAAGGGAAGGAGAGCTCTGATTCCCCAAATCTGCAACACCGATCGCCGAGATCGGTCCCTGAAGCTGGACATGATCGGCCGAGCCGTGAAGGTGCGAATGTGATCGAATGTGTCCAACCAACGCTGGACCTCGACCCCGAAACAGTAGCCACCGGTCCTCACTCAGATGGCAGTGGAAAGCACTGCATGTTCGTAAAGGAACATCCTTCATCCAACATTCCATGCCATCTTCCCATTATGACCGCCTTATGGTACATCCTTATGCTTCGACCGGTACGACCCTGTTGGTTCCGCCCTGCTATCCTCGTCCTCGTCCCAGGCACCTTCCTGTCCATTCAGACCTTCCACCAGAATTGCAGCTTCCGTGGCCACTTCTTTGGCCAGCATCTGCGGTTGAGAGAAACCAGATGTTGGCCAATGAAAAGTCGGTGGAACATGTTTTATGGCTAACATGTTGGACTAGATGTCAATTCTCATTCAGCACTAAGCACTCCTTAAAGAGTAGGTTTTGTGCGGGAGGAGGGAGGGCAATTATTAAGATCTGAGTTTGGCTATTGTTCCATGCGTTCCCTATCAAGATATCAAAACAGGAATCAGTTGGGTTCTTATATGCCAAACCCACTGCCAGACCCTACCCCCACACTGCAACAACGGGTCATAGTACTTGATAGTACTTGTTCCTTTTGGACCTGGACTCCTTCTCTCGATCTTTCACTGCCTTTTTTGTGGACCCAGTTCCAAACCACATGTGCGTGTATTGTGCACCTCCACCATGCATCCAAACCCAAACACAACAAATGGGACTTGCATATTTACATACACTGGGGTGGTTGAAAAGGCTCACTGTGGGCATTATATTGCATGCAATGGAGTGTCTGGGAATTACAATTAGTATTGAAATAAGTGATTATTTGCATCGTCGTCAATCATCATGTGTTCGCGCCCCATCTCCTATGCCTGGACACATCTTCCTCCTATCGATTCATATCGCGATATACCGTGGAACCTCAAATGGAAAGGAAACAACACACCCCCGAGGACTCGAATCACCATTGATTTTACTTACCATTGTTTTGCTAAGGATTCTACACTCCAAAATCTAGGTCACCTATTTCTTTCATGGTCTTGGATGGCCAGGGCAGCCTACACCCTGAACACCTTCGATATAGCAACAAGATGCAACACGCTCATCCATACGAGTTACTCAATCCATCGTCCCGCTGTCACCCGTCCATCGCTCCTCAGCATCTTTGGCCTCACTGGCAAGCACACGAAGCTTCTGCTCCTCCACCGAAGACGAAAGCCACGGTGAACCGGAGGCGGCAACCCGGCGGACATCGGTGTTGACCATTGGGGGGAAAGAGGTCGAGATCAAACGACTGGGGACATCGGGGCCCTCCTCCCGAACCGCTGCGGCGAAGGGGCACAGCTTTTCACCTCGGCAACGTCGGTTGAAGAGTGAAGCGAACGTCACCCGCTGTGTGGTTTCTCACGAGTTGGTTCCTTAAAACAATGGAGATTGTCGCAAGACGTATATAAATAGCTATAAATATAGATGTTGAATTCCATATGTATGATCAATGTTCTATATACGATCATACTACCCCAAGAGAGAAATAGAACACATCCTTTCTAGTGCCCCTTATGCTATAGGGAAACCTTGCTTGAGAACTTGGAGAAACACCGCACGATGAGTTTTCTCAAAAGCAGCCGGCATGGCATGGCACAGCTGTTCAACAGAGGACCGGAGCCCATTCGGGGCACTGGTCACACCCATGGTGAACCATACTCTTGCGGAATTCCTCCTCTATGACCGTCTATGACGATGACATGTGATGACTCTCTGTTTTATGGTGCAGTGCAACACATACTCCAAGCAACGAATAATGTTTCTTCTTGACCCACTTGGTACCAAACCTGTGACAAACCAAAAAACAAAACAACAGCAGTGCCACTCCACAGGTTCCACTGGCTCGCACGCCAACCAGCGTTTGCCGCCAAGAAGCCAATGACAATCGAATCCAACCAGCGTTTCGTCGCCTCCACGCGGCCTCCATGCGGCTGAAGCCGCTCGGAGGACGTCCCGGTCGGACAGAGGATTCTTCCGGTTTGGAAGGGAGAAAAACGCCGGGCCATCGATGCTTTGTGGGTTGAAGTGGAATGTCTGGGGTATATCCCCAAACGATCCTAATAGATGTGTTGTTTGTTTGTTAGAGAAAACATCTCTAACCGCTGTGATGTTCGACTTGTTGACCGATACTCGCTTAGTGCTGATTGCAAGTTTGACCCAAATCGACACCAAGTTTTCACAGCACAAATATCACGGATCGACGCTGAATCACCACAGATCCTGCGTCACCCGAAGGAACCTGACTGCCCTTAGTGAACATGGCCCGAAGGACATCGACGCTGCGTCCACCGAGTGTCCACTACGTTTCCGGGTCGGAGACAAACACCGATCGAAACCCCACCGAAAGAACCCAATGGCGTTTTAGTTGGAAAAACCTTGGGATCCCCGTCACCTGAAAGAAATGCGACCGTGAAACATTGATATTCAGAGTGAAACGATGTGAGTTTCTCAGGACTTCCCAGAATCAAACACAGAACATACATGAACATACAATGTTGGATCTCGATTAGTAAAGGGTCCCTCTATAATGCGATTTTTCCAAATTTATTTAGACCCCCCTGTTTGAAAAATGGGTCCTGAATAATGCTAACTTTTTTTTGGACCCTAAATTTTTAAATTGGAAACCTAATTAGTAAGGGTTTGAATTCCTTCTGAGGCCATTGATTATGATTCATTAGCTGATATAGCTTTCTCTAGGTTTCTTCAAAACTGACAGCTGACCAAAACCACCAGTTCCCCAATTAGACCCTTTATAAAACATTGCTCCTAAACAAATTTTCAAGGTAGTAGACCAGGAAGGCACCTGATCCTCAATAATAAATTTGTTTTTGGGTCCTCAATTGTGAAAAGTTTTTTTCCACTGGAAAAAATTGCTCATGGAATCTTCCTTTACTTAGGAAGCCATGGAAGCTGAGGAAGAAGCTGAAAGCTTGGGGCTTCTCTTGAGCTGAAGATCTGAGGCTGCAAAGCAAAAGGATCTCTGAGAACTGAGAACAATTACAAAATTGAAGCTGAATACAATCTATGAAAGGAAAATGAATACTACAATCAATTACAAGAAGGAATTCTCGCAGGAATCCAGATTTGTTTTAGTGATAGTTTATTATAGAGGACTCCCTGTTTGTTTGAGGGGAGGGGGGGGCCCCCTTTACTAATCAGGATCCAACATTACCTAATGTCGACATGCAAGTAACACATGTTTGCAACATTCCCTCGACCTTACAAGTAAGGCTTATACTGGGTCTGCAAAACCGGAAGTCCACGGTCCACGTCCGGCCTCCAAACCGACGGAGACCGCGGGTCGCGGTCTGCGCCGCGGTAGGTCGGCGCGGCCAAGGCGGTCCCGGACGTCTGGAGCAGCGGACGTGGATGTCTGTCGGTGGGTCTGGTGGGTCTGCAGCTTCTTGTTACTACTAGTAAGGTACTTGTTACTAGAAGCGATGCACTTGTTCCTAGTAGCTTCTTGTTACTATAGTAAGAAAGCTGCTAGTAGTAAGGCCAGGAGCCCCTGTTCGTAGCGTCCGAACGCTCCTAGTAAGGCCAGGAGCCCCGTTCGTAGCTTCTTGTTTCTTTTTCTGCTTTGGATGTCTTTTTGGCATGTAAAGTCTAGTGAACTCACAACTGAAGTCTGAAAAAGGAGCGAAGAGAAAAGAATGAATTGGACCATTGGACGTACAGAAAAATGGTCCCCCAAAATGATGCCGACCTTGCCCGGCATTCCCCCCCTGACTTCCACCTGACCTCAAATACTCTCTCGAATGGATGGACCCAATGCAATTTTTGGCAAGAAACAGAAACAGAACTTCTTCGGATGTATAACATGATGATACATGAACAAGGTCTATGAAATCATATTCATCACTGAATCCGCATGTCTAAACCTGAACCCTGTTGACGTTTGGGGCCTTGGAATCGGCGATTGGTGGTGCCCCCGGCACCCCGGATGGTCTGCAAGGGTCCACCAAGTCTGGTACCTTCGTCTCTCAAGGTCCGTCAAACAGTCTTTCGTAACACCGCAGGCATAGAGGGCGCCATCGGCATGACATGGAGAGCCACTCGCACGCTTGGTTTCATCGCGCGCGCATGCCATGTGCGCGCAAGCCGTGCGCATGCCATGCGCATGCCTGGAGAGGCTTGCAAGTCGCCCAAGATTCATCGTAACAGAGGTCAATGATAGGGGCCCGCAAAGATAGTTTGATATAGTTTGGGAATTACTGTTATCTCTCAACTAGAAGCAGGAGTGGATGCACTTCTTCTGAGCACGTGTTCGACTAATGATTAATGACTCGAATTATTAGATCTGCAGCCTGCAGCAGGGAAAAAACCCATCGAGCAAAATCAAGAGTCAACGTGTCAGCATGTCAATGCGCCAGCTTCCGGCAACTGATACAAGCAGGGCCTGATACATCCAAGAACCTGCAACATTCCAAGGAGAGTCTGCACAACTCATCATTTTTGGCACCAAACACTTGCAGTGCCACATTTGAGTCGATCCTACTGATCCTCTTCAGAGAGGACTGCTGGCGCCTCATTCCTTGTGGAAGTTCAGCGCACAGCTGGCGTCATTAATTTCGCACTGGCAGCATGTCAATCATTACATCAAACGTGTTATCAACAGGGATATCCACTGCTTGACCTCTCCGTGGCTTTTTTCCAACCAGCCAGACTTTCTCAACAAACGCGTTGTGGAACTCAACGGTGGAACTCACCGGTGGATCACTAGTGCTACATGGATAGCCATCAAAACACGGAGTTCCAGGAGGGTGAAAGAGGGGAAAAGTTCTGACATGAGTTCAGTTCGGTGTTTTTGTCGGTACCGATGTTCCTCCATGCGTTCCTGCTTTTCACCTGGGAGGGGGTTTGAGCTTTCTGATCCCTTTTGACCATGTTACCTTTGGTATAAGGTACAGTGCACTACTTTGCTGCCACATGGTGTCACTCAGTTTGGCAAGGCCAGTAAGCTCCACGGCGAACATGCCGCGGGGAAACCATTGCCGGCGAGTGAACGAGCCTCCAAAGCGTGCAGTGCCACATTGAGTAACTTTTGAAAATTTGAAACCCAAAGTTCTCATGGGAAGGCAAAGGCAAGTTCTGTCACAACGCTTAAGAAGCTGACACATTGTACAAGTAAGTGACGACAATAATTGCAATTGCAACTCCCCATTGCCTTCCATGTGCATCTACGATAAGCTATTTAATTGCTGCAGTTGTCAAGATCCAAACATGAAACAGCCTATGCCTCAAGGATTTGGGCCCCAGCCCAGCCAGGTGAGTCAGTCCGCACAACACTGGACACGCTCAACCGCAGTATTGTTGTCGGCCCTTGGACTGCATACGCCGTTGCAAGGCTTCAGCAAACATCCTCATGGCCTGCGCATCCGCTGCGTATTGCGCATACCGTACAATATATGCCACAATATAAGCATACCTATTGGTCATACAGAATATGGGAAGAGTAGGGAGGAAGGAAAAGGATGTGATCCCATGGACCTTGCACCATGGCCTGCGGCGCCTGCGGCCTCGTTTCTGAACAAGTCTTGCATGCCATTACCGGGCCATCACCGACAAATAGCCTTTCTTCTTTCGGGTTTTCAACCAACGAGTGGCTGGGCGTGTCTTCGCGGCTGTGCGAAGACACGCTATTAGCCCAGAAGCCTCTAGTTCACGGCAAAGCCTATTTGCATTAGTGTGAATTAGAACAGGGAGATGTCCGAACCAATGGTTTTGAGTCCAGTCTACTTCTCTATTTTCCTTTTGCCAGGGGGTTCTTTGCGTGCCTCCCTATTCCGCTGGCCGCTCAGGTAGCTACTACGAGGCTACAACCACACGACAAAGCACAGGACCCCGCCCGCCCAGCGGATCAGCGGATGAACGCCCATCCTTGAGCTTGACGCCACGCTCTCCCATGTCTTCACCTCGTACCAGGAAGACCTCAGCGGCCGCTGGATGTCCCTTCTGAGTGTCTTTCTACCGGCTGGGAGCGGTGTATGGAGATCTTGAGGACTTGAGGCGAAGTTGCTTTCGATGAACATCCGTTAGTTAGATTGCCATGTCTTGCCCAGAAAGTCACACAAACAACATCACACAACCTGTCAAATGTTCTTTTTATGCCTACCACCCATGGCACTGTAAGCGGAAACACTAAGCTTTTTGTCCATCCTCTTGCTAACGCACTGGTCGCTTTGTTCAACAAGCTGTCCAATTTTGAACGGTGCACTCAGTGCGCTGCAGGGACTCTTTTCCTTAGTCGCACTCAGCTGAAGACCAAGGGCACTTAGTTTTAGAAAGAACATGACACAATATCCTCTACATCCCATTTCACCTGCTGCCTTGCGTGAACCTTCCTGGTTTGTGGCCTTTCTGTAGTGAAACGAGCCTTCATCTTACCCCGACAGTACGTATGAGTTTCTCCATGCATTCCAAGCATCAGCATGGTCGACACACGCCCTTTATCTCGAAAGGAATCGATGAAATGATGCCTCGAAGTGCGGTCGCTTGCTGGAAATTGGAGAAGTGGCTGGAGAGCATACTGAGTCTACAAACAAGAGTCTACATGACTCATGACGCCAAAGATGGCCAGGTGAGTTATTTTGTGTGTTGCCCAACTCAGCAAAGGGGGCCATAATTCTGTTGCATTACTCAGCATGACATTGACTACGACTTACACAACAAAGAAGTCTGAGTCACTGCTCACCGGAAGCTGGTCAAGTATTAGTGCAGTGCCCAGTGCAGTCAATAGTTGAATGACTCATACTCAACTTCTTCAGACCTGAGAAGAAAGCCGCCGTACCCCACTTGACCAATTACAGTATGCCAGGTGTTTCCTTTGTTCACTTGCTCCATTGGAAGCGATGCCCTTTGTTACGCTCATAGCGAACCTTGCTCCGTTCGTAGTAGGGCGTCTGAGCCCCGTTTCGCTTCGCGTCGTTTTCGGCCCCAGCGGCGGTGTACCCCTCTCCCCGACGATGAAGTCGCCTCGGGTTCGATGGGTACCGATGGGTTCGATGGTCTTTACATGTCCTTGTCCAGTGGATGGAGCAGACTTGGCATGACTGGATATGTTTTTTTTTTGGTGCGGAAGACTGCTCAGCAACCTAATGATAACTTGAATGGAAAGTGGCTTGCAAGAGGCGGTGGAAGCTGTCCAAGTTGTTGTGGGAGAAACAGGCTCATCGCTTGAAAGAATCATCCGAAGAATGTGAAGAACATGTGGATCACAGTCTCCACGACCTGAACGTGCCTTTCTCAAACTGGGGGAAGGTGACGTGTCTGAATGCAACTGCTGGGGTTTTCATCCACTTCTCCTAACCCCTTTCCGCGCAGGTCCTCAGAAGATCGCCGGAAGTGCCCGTGTCCACGCGCCGTCGGCAGAGGCTTCGGCGAGTCTTGGCGGAGACACCCCCGGTCACCTCAGGGGTTGATTGGGAGAGGCCGCGCCAAGGAGCAGAGGAAGATGATGACACACATATTTGACACTATACACCCTGGAAGACGATCCCATGGACCCGGAAAACCACTGGTTGGTAGAGGAAAAGACTCTTCCAGGGGGCCAGGACGTCAGGGTCTATGTTAGTTTTCGGGAGGTGAAAACTATCCACCTGCAGCAACCAACACGTGAGTCACATGAGCTCAAGCATCTCTTCAAGACTCTAAAATCATCTAAAATCAAGTGTTTTGGTGGTGTTTCAAGAAAGATCCGACACACTCCAAATGCCTTCGACATGTTTCCTTGGAGGCCTAGGCAACGGCCCCAAATTTTAGATATTGCGTTAACGGCCCCACATCCTTCAACCACAGCATGGAGATAGAGCAAGGTCAAACCTTTGGCAAACTCGTTGCTCACCCAGGTTCACACCGATCATTTCCTTCAGTCCCTTCAGGTTTCGTTCCAAGTTCACCTGTTGAACATGATGGCTGTGCTAATTCGATCGTCATGTTGACTGTTGATGCATCAGGAACATTTATACACGTCCACATGATCCTCTCTTCCAGATTTTCTTGTAGCAACAATAAGTATATCAACAATACTTAGAACTACGGCAAAAAATGATTGCCTCGGGAGTGTCTAGGTATTATTATGTAACTGTAATCTAAATAAGGGACTGTTCTTAACCCACATTATGTGGCAACCTTTTAGGTTGACCTTTATATGATACAGGGACCTTTATATATATTATGTGGCTGCTCTTTGTAAAGAGTATTAAAGAGTCAACGAGTCTATGAGCGCGCGACCGGTCGATGTTTTGGGCCCTCCCGGCGAAGAGGCCCCCAAAGGGCATGAACTTCAAGGCCAAAACACCGGCCTGGGCATCTGGGCGTGGGGAGGCGGCGGTGCGGGCCACCCACCAAGCACCAGACCATCCGAAGACCCTCAGAAAAAGAAAAAAAACACATGATGATGAGATATGATGAGGATGAATGAAGGAGTTTGAACCACCAAAAGAAACGGCAAAACACGTCTTCACCTCTGCATTCTTTAGCCACCAAAGACCATCCTCCAAGCGCGGCCAACCATCTCTTTCTCTCTCTTTCCAACCATCTCACCAATCACCTGCAACTCTTCCGCCCTTACGCCAATGGCTTAGCCATGCCCTTTTTGGTGCAACCCGTGGCCCAGTCAGCTAGGACGCTCGCCTCCGAGCCATAAGCTCCAATAAAGAGGTCCATAGTTTTGAGGCACAGCTCGCACGTGCCATTCCGTGCAGCCTGCAGTGTAACAGCCGCGCCGGGCGAAGCCGGCAGTTCACTCACCGCGAGTGGTGGAGCGTGAAACGGAAGCTGCGCGCGGAGAACGGGGAGAACCGCCCCCGTCTTGCGAAGAAGGAGCATTGATCTTGTGGTTTGGCTGGAGGTCTCGCAGTGGGGCCAGTACAGCAAATGGGTTTGATGTGAGGAGCCTGCCAACACGTCTTGATTCTACTTCAGCTCAAATCGGCCGCTATCGGTTTTGAGGTGTACCTTCTTGTTTCACTGTGTTTTGAGTTCACCACATGCTTGAGCATATGCGCCGCTTGAGCATATGCGCCGCTTGGGGTTATTGCCCTTGAGGTGGACAATTTGTCGTTCTCTTCCAGGGTTGCGTGTACAAACCTCAATTTCGATCCTGGCTCAAATCTGATCCGCGGAACCGCTTGCTGACATGTTCAGCTCAGTCTTCTCTAGGGGATGAGAGCGAGTCACCTCTTGCTTTGTCTTGCTTGTACAACCCACGGCGGCCGAGAGCATGACGGCGCCTGGACGATCACGGCGGGGTCGTGCCTGAGCGGATGCGGAGCGGAGCGGAGCAGAGCTGAGCGGAGCTGAAGGGATGGGTCGGGTCCATGGAGGGTTTTCTGAAAGATGGATGGGTCCAATGAGAACCGGAAAGAGCCAACAGTTAACTGAGTCATGTTTTGGAACAGGTCCCACGCCAATCCGGGATTGAAGCGTGAAAAAAGAACCATCTCTCACTTCGTGCGAGCTTTAAGCAAATAGACCATGGGGGACGTATTCAATATTAGCAAAGCTCCATGGAAAAAAACACTCCAACAAGTCCGTTTGACGACCAGGGGGAGGGTCAGCCAGGGATCCCCCCGGCACCGGCACTGACTGGGCGGCCCCGGCACTGGCCCCATGCCACCCGCGTGTTGGCCGTTGGTGAAGGCCGAGTGGACCTCCTGCAAACAACACACCGCGTGTAGCGCGGTGCTGTAGCGCGTGTAGCGACAGGCAGGCAGTGTGCGCAAGGTTTGCTTCTCAGAATGGAGGGGTTGGTGATGCTTGGTGTCGTTTGCATCTGTTGGGATCCGAGAAAGATGGAATTAATATCTAGAAATCAGCTTTGAGGTGCATGGTTGATGACATCCCAACACCAGTAGATTCCCATGATTGAAGAGACAATGCCCTCACCAGGGCCGCCGGGAAATCAAAAAAAACGTGGCTGAGTGATCCTTTCATCAATCACTCACCTTCTGACTGCTGCACAACCCTCCTGCTCGTCTCTCCCCGTGTGACAGCTGCATATGATCCCGCCAATACCACGTCACCAAACACTTGAGTTCCTGAAACTCTAGCCTATAGAAAGCTCTTGAAGGCTGAAACCAATGTGCTGACTGCGCTCTCCCCCTGACTCTTGCTGAGCTTTGTGCTCGGTTGATCTTCTCCGGATACTTCCAGGCCATGAACTGGTAGATGTTGGCAATGCCTCCCCCCCGCTGGCTGAAAACACTTCGCCAACATGTCACCCAAAAATGGGGGTTGTGGTGGTGGTGTCTTCTCTCGCTGTTCACGCTATTTGGTGCCCAAAGTAAGTCCAAAAAGGGATCCCAACTGGGGAGATGGTGTCGGATGTGGGATCGACCGGGTCCGACCGACCCTCGAGGTCGACCGGATTCATGTCGGCGATTTAGTACGGGCCCTATACGGTTTACTGGGGCATCCTATTTCAGAAGCCATGGAACTCAAAACCGTTTGTTCCAAGACCCTCTTGCCAGTCTCATGTTTGCGTCTGAATTGTTTGGCTATCTTCTTGTTCACCGTCTTCGCACCGTCTTCGCACCGCCAAAAAACACGAACAAACAGATCCGTCCATTATCCACGTCTCTGGGATCCGCCCCTCGACGCCTCGACCGCTGACGATGCGTTCGACGCTGATGCGCGACTTCGCGCTGAAGCGAATCTGCAGGTACCTGGGAGCCAGACCCAGTGATGTCGGTTTGGGTCGTGTAGAAGGGTCGGTTTGGTACCATTGACCTATTGATGTACACTTGGGGGTAACCTCTCTATTCAACCAACGAATTGTAAAAGTTATGACCGGACCTGGCAAGAAGGACTGGTGTCTCCAAGAAAAAGCCACAGTCTGTGAGATTGAAAAACAGCCTGAGCCGTAAAAAAAAGGTGGCAATGGCTGGCAGTGGCAGTGGTGATTTTTGAAGCATGTGGAACTTTGTGCGAGAAATAGCGTGGATGGTGGAGACGAACAAGCACATACATGACAGAAACAAGGCTGCAGGTGTGAAACAATCCAAACAAACACCATGTAAGTTGTAGGTTCAATGAACCTTTTCCTGTTGAAACCGATGCTGCAAGTGAACTCTCAACTAAGGAGACATCTAGTACACTAATCAGAAAGCGCCTTTTGAAGGCCTTTTTGCTCAGTAGTTATAATATATCGATATAATCATAATACAATATATGAGTCATTCTGTGAGTCTTCGCAAAATCTCAAGGACAAACACTTAGCCTCTCTCTGTTCACACCATCTGCCGGTCCTACGGCTTTGGCCAAACAAGTGGACCAACCATGAACAACCAGCTCAATACCACTCAATTACAGTATTTCGCTCCCTTTTCAGGGCACTTCATCATCTCACTCTGAACATTTTGACTCCCTTCCTGACGTGGAGCAAACTCCTGGCGACGGACGGCTATCCATCAACCAGCCCCACTTGTGATTCCAAGATGACATAGACCACATAGATCATAGTGAAGTAGTAACCCTACCAAAGAACATATAAGATTATGATATAGGTGAATTATCCCCTGTCAAGAAAACAGCCTTGAACCAAGTGTCTATCAGATTCGATGCCAAACATTGAATCCATTGCTCAAGGCGCAAAAGCTCCCCCTTGGCTTCTAACAATTCACTCCACAAATGATGCTGATAAACAGCTGGAGATTTGCATGAAGTCAAAGGCACCATCGGCTAAGAGAGGCGTCCTTGTGCCCACCTTCAGATGGCCAGACCTGTACAACGGACACTCAAAAAAACACAAAACAAGATGGAACCCACGAACCCGAATGCAAACACGTTCGACAAACTAATATGTCCAAATGACACTCTTGTAGGACACTCTTGCGGGACACTCTGTAGGACACTCTTGTAGCACACTCTTGTGGGTCACTCTTGTAGGAAACTCTTGTGGGACACTCTTGTAGGACACTCTTGTGGGACACTCTTATAGGACACTCTTGTGGGACACTCTTGTGGGACACTCTTGTAGGACACTGTTGTGGGACACTCTTGTAGAACACTTGTGTGGGTCACTTGCAGGACACTCTTGTGGGACACTCTTGTGGGTCACTTGCAGGACACTCTTGTGGGACAATCTTACACGACACTCTCGTAGGACACTCTTGTAGGACACTCTTGTGGGTTACTCTTGTAGGAAACTCCTGTGGGACACTCTTATAGGACACTCTTGTGGGACACTCTTGTGGGACACTCTTATAGGACACTCTTGTGGAACACTCTTGTGGGACCCTCTTGTAGGACACTCTTGTGGGACACTCTTGTAGGACACTCTTGTGGGACACTCTTGTGAGACACTCTTGTGGGACACTCTTGTGGGACACTCTTGTAGAACACTTGTGTGGGTCACTTGCAGGACA